TTGTGTATTCTAGAGTCTTTGATTTCACACAGTACAAGCTAGTTACTTTTGGCTTATCTTTTCATAGTGAGAAAAGCAGCACATACGGGATTATGTTTTCATATAAACTATAAGCAGTGGGCCATTGCTACGCTGATGTTATCTATACACCATAAAACACTTGTAAAGTGTGATTAATATTAACAAAACCTTAAGATAACTATCCTTGACTTGCTACCATTTGTGTTCCCTCACTGCTGTCAGTCTTGGTTTATGTATGTTGTCAATATTATGTAATGTGTTTAAGGCTGGTTCAAATAGCAAATCTGAGTTTGTCTGAAATCCAGATGAGGAAGTGCGTGTGGGTTGTTGTTGTATAAGTATGTTTATTGTTTACTGATGACACTAAACAATGTTAGTGCTCTGTTTACTGGTATGAAACACCCTGTTTCATCTTCCACCTGTGTTTTTTTTTTTTTTTGACGGCTCTCCATCACTCAGGTGTCTTCAGGGCAGTGATCCCATAATTGTGTCGATGAGGTAAGATTTCATGGTTCATTGAGTCTGTGGCATTGTCACTTTACAGCACTGGTTCAGATGGAAAATTAGACAGGAAGTTTGTCATTGTTCTCTGGCTGGAGGATCAGCAGCTCTCGGGGGTGCAGGGACCAGGCAGACAATGCTGTTGATAAAGCCAGCGAGGGCACAGCCGTAAGCTCAGCAGGTTTAGAGTAGTTTGGGACAGTAGTATGAAGCATTGTGACCTCCTGTCTGCATGTAGTAGTCAACACATTCACTTTGTTAAATCACGGCTAGTCTTTCCGGTCTCATGCATTTTACAACGGTGGACTCTGATTTTTTGGAAATGCAGTTGTCTAACTGAGTATTCATCAGGCATGGTGTTGGCACAATGATCTAAATGTGCATTAGGGGAAATGTTAATTTCACTGATGCAGCAAAATTTCGACCACCAAAAATCAGTCAGTTCAGTGAGCTGATTTCACTCTCCCTCCTGCTTTGCTTTCACAACAGACTCAGAAAATGATGCACTATGAAACACTTTTAATGCTGCTGCACAAACCAAAGTGCAAGATTGGCATCAACTAGCTTGTGTGTGGAACATCGGTCTGCTCAAATAATGTGCCAACATGACATTTCAGTAGCTGTCTCATTTCAGCGCAGGGTGTCTGTGGGTTCTTAATTCTTAAAATGTCTTAAATTTGAAAAACAAAATTTTAGGCCTTAAAAAGTCTTAAATTCACTAATATATAGTGTTGTAGGCCTTAAATAATTTTAAACAGTTCTTACTTTTCCTACATCTAAGTAAAGATACCCATTAGGCATGACTAATCCATCTCAACTTTTTTTTATATATATTGCATTTTAATTATTACAATTTTTTATTAAGGGATACTAAAACAGTTGTTAGAATTTTTTTTTAGAGCAAATCCTCCAAATTAAGTTTTCTAAACGGGAAAGAAAACTAAAGCAAAAAAACTTTTACTTTAGCGCTGTGCGACTCAGGGAAAATGTCTAATTGCGATTTTTTTTTTTATTTTTATTTATTTTTTTATTTTTTTATTTTTTTTATTTTTTTATTTATTTATTTATTTTTTGACATTGCGATTTTAATTGAAGCTTCAAGCTGATTTTAATTTAATTCAAGCTTCAGCTCAATAATCTAAAAGCCGTGGCAACAATTCTGTGATGGCTCCTAAATAAAGAAATAACATGCGATTTGATTAAATTTGGATTAATTGCACAGCCCTTTATATGATCTTTCATTTTATACAGAAACTATTACAGAAGTAACTGGGCCTTTAGAAAAATCCTTAGTATTTAGCCCTGTAAGTCTAAAATTTTATTCATAATGGTTTTGAAGGGACTCAAAAAGTCTTAAATTTGACTTAAAACCTGCAGAAACCCTGTCAGAGGCTGCATCTTTCGAAGGATGCAGTCTTCAAAGGTGAGTTCTTCGAAGTCTACACAAGCCAAACCGAGCATTTAGAAATCGGACAATTCAGCCTAAGAGGATAGATCTCGTCACCTAGGAACCATAACAGCTGCTGTTAATAAGTCATAACAAAATTTGTAATGATTATTTTAAAGTAATTTTGAAACTTATTTTAAGCGGTCTGATGGCAAAACAAGGTTTACAAAACCTGGAAATAGATTTCCTTTCCATACATATACAAAAAAAAAAGTAAACTATCTGTAAAATTGCTCTTAGCTAAGAGTTTTTTTTTTTTTTTTTTTTTTTTTTAACATGTGTTTAGATAACAGTCAAATAGATAGAAGTCAGATAAAACCTAATACATTTAATCTGCAGTTTTCTTGTAACGTCCTGCCGTTATCAGCGTGCAATGAATCTTGGGATGTTCGAGGCCGCAAAGGATCCACCAGTTGTATCTTTCTTTACCTGGCAAACAAAGAACGCATTTTGAGGCTGCAATTGAAGGAGTCTTTGAATTTTTTTGAAATGAGACAGTCTTCCTCACTCCACGATGACGCAGTTCGCTTTGAAGGCATTCTTCAGAGGATGCAGCCTCTGAAATGAGACACAGCTTATGTTGTATACTCATTCCTGCTGCTTGCAATAGCGTTACTGTGCTGCCATGGCAACGCTGTTATAATGATGCCTTTCGACTCGCTGTCAATGTCAATAAACTATTACCGTTTAAAAAATTTTGTTTGTTTTTTTTTTATGTGAAATTTATCTGCTCTTTCCACAGATTACATTGTGTAAATGTGCAATTAAACAAGGACAGATAAAATGTAAAACAAAATACACAACAACCTAATTTAGACCATAATATCCACAATTTCCAACCACTTCCTTGGTTGCACCTTGTCTTTACACAAACGTCACTCATTTTATACCACAAATAAAATCAAAAACAGTGTACATACATATTACAACAGTGTACACTATTTACACCTGAATTCATTCAAAATTTGTTTTATCGGCGCCAATATCCTAGTGGTTAATTTGTCGACTCATCGCACTGAGGTGCTCACACCGACCAGAGTTTGATTCCTGGTTCGAGGTCCTTTGCTGATCCTAAAAAATAAAGGTTTAAACTCCCTAAAAATTAAATATTAAAAAACAGTTTTGCTTCACCTTGTTCTTATTTTAGTTACTTTTCTGTAAATTCTAAATCCAGTAGCATTAATTGACAAATACACACTAGCATGCAATCGGTGTGATTGAGCTGACTGATATTTCTAATTTATCTGGCTTTATTAGAAACTAAGTTGTTGCCTGGTCCTCATTAGTAATCATAAAATGCTTGGTGGTTTTGTTTTGCTTACTACGGTTTAAGTGAAAGATGCCTGTAGGGTAGCAGTAATTCAATGTAATGTAATTCTGGAGCGATGCATTGACATTAAATATTAATATTCAACTAAAAATGTCTTTATGCGATCATATTTAGCAAACCAACTTTCCTACATTTAGTATTTTCAAATTTCAAAAATGGGATTGCTTTGGAAATGCTCAACACAACAAATTACAGAAGGTGCTATACAGTAAATCCTCATCCACCTACATCTTGTTCAGATTTTGTTTTTTCTTACAGGCAAGCCATCCTAACAGGGATTCCTCCTAGATTTGAATAGGGCTTTATTGATTTTACTACTCTTTCCTTAAGCCCCCTGCAGTCATACAGATTTTGCAGCTTCTCTGGTTTAATTACAGGCTTTAACAGCTTCATTGGCTAAATAGTACAACTTCCCATAAAGGTTACTCTGTAGTCATGGGCAACAGGTATTGCATTCTTCCTCTTCATGAGCATAGTATCAGTCTGCTTGCTTATAGCTTAGCATTATGTGTTCGATCTCATTTTCATTTACATTCGATATCATACATGTTTTGCTGCACATTTTACAAGGATTTTTAAAGACATGTGCAACAAATTTAAAATAATCCTTTTCAAGGAAAAAGGTTTCTGCTTTCAAATCAAAAAGTTTCGTGCTTTATACCATGTGTAAATAACATTCATGTTTTAGTTGTTGTTGTAGTTTTTGAAAGAGTTCATTGTTTTTCTGTTATGTTTCTAAATTATAATGATTTCATTTATTAATAAAAAGCTTGTCTAGTTGAAAACATGGATCTTCAGCAGCATTTTACAATTAGAAGTTTTTTTATTTCGAGGCATCACTGTGGTGCAGTGGGTAGCACGATTGCTTCACAGCAAGAAGGTTGCTGGTTTGAGCCTCAGCTGGGTCAGTTGGCATTTCTGTGTGGAGTTTGCATGTTCTTCTTGTGTTGGCTTGGGTTTACTCTGGGTGATCCGGTTTCACGTCACAACGTCACATAGCACAAGCTTTGTGATTGGTTGGTTTGGTAGAGGTGACGAGGGTGGATGGTGTAGAGAGCTGCATTTTAGTCAATGTGTGTTTTAATTTCAGTTGTTCAGCATTGATGTTCAATAAATAATCATATATATAGTAGAGAGTGGGTGTTTACTTCAATTTTATGCACCCTTAAATGAAAGATGTCTCACTTGTGATATGTGACCATATTTACTGTACAAAACTTGTGAACTCTGATGGCAAAAAATAAAATAAATAAATAAAATAATCATTCATTAATTGTAATCGAGTTAATGTTCAATTAATCGAGATTTCCATTTTAGGCCAAACTGCCCAGCCCTAATTTCACTATCAAATTTGCTGAAGTTGTACTTTGTTTTTAACATTGCGGAATGCTAATGTCAAGTATAGCCCAGTTATTCTCATTACATTGTGATTTTATAATATTACCTTTGCAAGTAGCCTGTGATACTTCATTCTTTTTTAATCCCCGAGTGTGTTTTAACACCTCATTGCAATGGCATGCTCAGTCCATGTATAGCTCCAATGCTGTTTAAACCCAAGCACTACCCTTGCTCGTGGAAAAACACATGCACACTCACAACAACATACCCTCTCTCACACACACTAAAAACAGCTCTCAGATATAAATAACTCCTCATGTTGAGGTCTTTGCAACCAGGAGTCAGACCCAGCCGACGTCAGTTTGAAAAGCGTGCACTGGCAGCGTCTTGCAGGATCCTCTCTCACTTCTGCTTCCTATAGTCATACGCTGATACAGTCCGATATTGAGTAAAACAGATTGCTGCTTCAGCTTGCAGACTTCCTTTTCAGTAGATCCTTAGTGTACAGTAGCTTGTCATTCCATTTTGATTTGAACCTGTTAGTTTTGATTGTTTTATTAACTTAATTTGTAGAATAGGGGATCATTATCAATATCTGTGGACCCGAGCAACTACATAATTGAAGTTTTTGTTGGTTTAAGTGTTGATATTTTTTTTTTTGTGGTAACGTTTTGAAGACCCTCCCCAGAGTCTGTGAACAATGCAGGACTTCTGGGGAGATGTTGCGCATATGAGGACCACCATAGGAGCTACAGCTTCTTCGGTATGTTTTGGGTTTCCTTCATGTATACATTTTTTCTTGAGCTCGGCACATGATAGAGATTCTGCATGGCTCATGGAATATACTTTGGCTTGCTATTCGCGTTTGCTCAGCAGTTTTGTTTTGATAATGAGCAATTCCAGTATTATGAATGTGACATTTGCAGTAAAAACTGAAAACATTCATTCACAAAGAAATATGTTAACATTATATTGAAACATCTGTGTCTATTTTTAAAACTTCTAACCATAGAGTTATGGGATCAGAAGAATATCAATCTGTAAACCTATTTTATGTTTTAAAGAGGAAAATAAACATTCTTTATGGATGTGACCAAAAAGGTATGCAAGTTTGCAGTAGACAACATACTTTGTAGAAATTCTGTGAATTAAACTGCACAACCCAATAGAAATGATTGATTTTACTGTATTTGACATTTTTGCATTTATGAGGAAAAAGCTTGGTTGTGGATATGACAGGTGTGAAATTGGCTCTAAATATCTCCCACACCATTACCGCACCACCACACGCCAAATTGTGACCCTGCCATTCAAATGTCGCAGCAGAAATCGAGAATCACGGATCCAGAAAACGTTTTTCCAATCTTCTACTGTCCAATTTTGGGGAGTCTGTCCGAATTGTAGCCTCAATTTCCTGTTCTTAGCAGATAGGAGTGTCACCCGGTGTGGTCTTCTGCTGCTGTAGCCTCATGGTTTGATGTGTTACTTTTGCCTTTCTATCAGCTCAACCAGTCAGGCCATTCTCCTCTGACCTATGGCATCAACAAGGCAATTGCGCCCACAGAACCACTCCTCACTGGATATTTTCTTCTTTTCAGACCATTCTCTGTAAACCCTAGACCAACCATGTCATGTTCAATGTCACTTAAGTCACCTTTCTTCCCTATTCTGATGTTCGGTTTGAACTGCAGCAAATCGTGCCTAAATGGCTAAATGCATCGAGCTGCTGCCGTGGGATTGGCTGATTAGAAATTTGCGTTAACGAGCAGTTGGATGGGTGTACCTAATAAAGTGGTCAGTGACTGTATAATGCGATATTGATACAATTTTACCAAATGTCCTTAATATCTCAAGATTATTTTTTAGGGAAGTGAGTCATGCATAAAATATAAGAAAAAAAAACGATCTATGATCATTGATAAAAACAATACAGAAAAAGATACAAGTGAAATAAACAGTAAGTATGTTTACATTTGACACTAATAATCCAATTTTAATATGATTAAGAAAATACTCTAAGAGTTGACCATGTAAACAGCGATTTTTGATTCATTAAATTCTATTAAGGTCATAATTAAACTAAACAGAAGTCGAATTAAGAGATGTGGAGCATGTGGATTTTAGTCACATTACCAAAGTGCAGCACAGTACAGATTTTAAAATCCTCATGCAAATAGTAAACTATAATTAAGACTCAACATTGCGAATGTTATTGCAAATGATCCTATTGCGATCTTGATGCCGAAACGATATATTGTTCTGCCCTACTTTAAAATACAAGCCTATACAAAAAACTTAGAAGAGGTTTTTCCTATTTTGGTGAAAATTTTTTTGGCAAGGTTGACATTTGCATGGAATTGCTCTAATGTAATAAGGAGTGAAATTTAGTGGTATTCTGATAAAAAAGGACAAAGCATGTCTTTAGGTTTCAAAGACGCCTCGCCTTTCATGTGTCATTGTGGTTTATATTTTAAATCCATCTTGTACCCTTGGCTGCATTTTGCCCTTTGGGTGATATCTGATGCTATGGCACTCAGGAATGGCTGGACAGATGCCTGTGATGGGACAGGGCTCTCTGTGAATGCAGAGAGCTTACGTCATCTAACTTCTAAACTTTGAAGCAACATAATTCCAGTACAGTTTATAAGGCATTCTAGTGCTGTTGTTGTTTTTGTTGTTATTGTTAATACCACCACCACCACCACCACTACTACTACTACTAATACTACTACTACTACTAATAATAATTTAATAGACAGTGATTTAAATAAAGAAACTGATACTCTGTATTTAAAAAAAAAAAAAAACAAGAATTAGGGTTGAAAAGACTTCCATTGTATATTAAAAAACAAACCAAAAAAATAAACTGTCACTCTGAATCTGAACTTAAAGCAATTCTAATATACTCACTGGCCACTTTATTAGGTACACCTTACTAGTGCCACTATTGCGTGAAGTCTTATTTACTTATTGACAAATCTTGGCTAACTTTGTAAACTATAGAAGCAGCCCTATTTATCTTAAATTACTGTAATATTAAAAGACTTAAATGAACAACAGGGCAAACTGTCAATGCAGTGTCAAATTTTTTTGAGGCATTTGAAAATTTAAGCACTAGATCTAATTATGTAATTGTTTTTTTTTAACTCTATGAAATGCAGTAATTTCACAGTGGCTTTTTATAGCTTATTTTCATAATAGATTTATTTAAACATTAATAATTAAGGCATCACTTACACGTTAAGGTAAAATGTTATGGATCCAATGATTGCAAAACTAATGAGCTGTGGTTAATAGTAAAATCAGTTAAAGAGCCCCTATTTTGCATTGTGAAAAGTCATATTTTGGGTTTTGGGGGTTTCCATCAACAGAGCGTGCAAAGTCAAAAAACACTTTCAGTGTCTTATACTATACATTTATTTTTACCTAATTATCCCAACGATTCCCAAATGAGTCATTCAGCGATTCATTTGTTCCCAAATCCCTCCTTAGTGTGAATCTAATCTGCGCTGATTGGACCGATGACCCAGTCTGTTGTGATTGGTCGACTGCGTTCAGCGTGAGACAGAGAGAAAAGCCCACCACGGCTACAGTATGAAGTAGCAGGAAGTGTGTGAGAGTGGAATGCAGGAATGCAATAAAGCAATGCAGTTAAAAGCCAGCATATTACTCTCTTAACCCTAACCCCAAGTGATAACAACAACAACACACATTCAGTATTAATCCACACAGTGGCAAAAGTTGAATTATTTTGAAAATTGACTGCACAGTGTGCGTGTGGGAACAGCTGATGGTGGCCATAGCAACAAACAGCAGAGGATCACTATCTCAGAAATGCATTTAAATTGGTAAAGTAAGGAGCACACGTCATGTTTTTAACGTGGTTTTGGACACGATATGTGAATAACCCTATACAGATTTAACCTAAGCGATACAGTACAAGCACTGATAATAGACAAGTGATTTCAAGCCACACTGGGTGATTACAACCTATAACACACAATTAAACATATATTTTGCAAACTACACAAAACGAGGCAACAATTTTAATCACACTTACATGTTATGATCTGGAGAAAGAAAAAACTGGTCCATTTGAACTGTTACTGACAAAGTCCCTGTCAAAGTCCCATAGTCTCTGCTGCTCCTTCAATAGCAAATGGTCAGCAAATCCTGCGTTGCAGCGCAGATTATTGTATCAAAATCAGAAAAATGACAGGAACAAACACAGCACATGGTCGGCTATACTGTGGTGTTGTTGTGAAAATGAACTTTAATCCTGTATTCCCCTCAGCTGAATTTCCATCTGTCAGTAGGGGTGTCACTATTTCGATTTTTAATCGAAATCAATCGAAATTTATGCTCAATTTCGATTATCAAATCAAAAAATAGAATCGTCGATGCTGCCACACCCCCATGTCACGTCAGCTTGGCTTGCCAAGTGGGAAAAAAAGAGGCTTGTTGAAGTGCTTGTTAAACTGAGACCCGTCGACAGAACTTAAACCCTCTCCTCTTTCAATGAAGTCGCCGGTGTGTAAGCATTTTTTATTTCCAGTGAGTTATGTTGACAACGTTCGTGCTATGTACGTATTACGTACGGTTCGTCTGATAGACAACACCGGCATCGCGATCCTCCACCCGCCCCCGTTGCAAATCCGCTCACGAAAAGTACACACTCAGGCCCTGTTTACACTGTCTTTGTTTGTAAATGGCATTTTAGAACGACAACGATTTGACATCCACAGTGGCGTGTAGCATTTCTGAGCAGCCCTCCTTCCTCTCTACCTCTGAAAATGCACATCACGTGACCACACAGACGCACACACAGCCTTGCGCTCGAGACAGCAGGTCCAGGCAGTCAGAGGACTGCTTCAATCTTTCACTCACTTGTACTAGTCATTTTAGCGAACACCTCAGATACTGTTGGCTGGTTCCTGTTGGTTGTGCGTCTTTTTTACCGACGCCATTATAAGGACACAGATCACTGCCTATTCACGAGTCCTGCAGAAAAAGTGATTGACAGGTGGTAATTATGTGTTTATCTTGCCTTTTATTCATTTACTGTATGATTTGTTTATGGGTAAAACAAAGACCATGCAGGTCAGGTAGTTTAAACGGTAGGCTACAAATAATTAATTGGTCATTAATTAATTAATTATTCATAATCGAAAATCTAATTGAATCGTGCCTTTAGAATCGAAAATGTAATCGAATCGAGGATTTGGAGGATCGTGACACCCTTATCTGTCAGTGAACGTCATCTTCATGCTATGATCAGTCCCTTGATCCCCCGCGCCTCTGCTAGTGTCTGAAGTGAAAGCGCATTCACATTTTACCAGAAAGGAACTAAATATTTGGTGATGTACCGTGTTGATGTCAATGCGTTCAGACAAATGATCCAACCCGAACTCGATTCGTTTATTTGACTCGGAGTCGACTATTTCGCTACAGAATCATAGTTTTAAACATGCTGCACTTTCAGATTTAAACCTCAGCTGGATGTTTTCATTTACTTAGTGCTGTGTGACGCACTGCATGGAAGCTCATTTGTAAAAACCCGTAATAGGAGCTCGTTAATTGTTGCATCCCTACACTGTACATTGTGATCTGGTTAAATTGCAAAAAGCATTCAACAAACAGTGCCAAAAAACTATTAATAATTTTAATTCAACATATAAATTTAGTGGAATTATGTAAATTGTAAAAAATTGTTCTTTTGGCTTCTGGTGAACTTTCAAAATAGTTTTGTGTCTTTTCTGTTCC